GAAAAAGCAAACATTGGCAAAAAAAAAGAAGAAGAAGAAGCTGATATTAGCACCAGAACAAAGGATGAAAGGTGCAGTAAAAGTTTCTAAACATTTTGAAAGTTGGCTGGTGAATGGAGCTGTATTCATTTTAAATGAGAAAAACGTGGCAGAAAATGCTACAAATTTTTATTAAAATGCAGAAAGACTAAAATTCATAGGTGGAATGTCACAAAGGAGCTGAGTGTTTTGATGCATGATTTGTTGAAATAGCACAAAAATGTGCAACCAGATATATGCCAAAAAAAAAAACATGCAGGAAAAAAATTGATAATCTCAAATGAGGCACAAATTAACAGAAACTGCACTACCATATATGGAGTGATGACATTATGAAACTGCAAATAACAATACATAATATTGATAGATCCATTTATTTATTTATTTTTAATATTTGTTCATAAAGTTCTTTTAAAACAAGGAAGATTTAGAAGTTGTGGTCATTTCATCATTTTTTTGTTTAATTATATCTTCAGTTAGCTTGCAGTACAGYCTACTTTACAGATCATCCCTTTCTTTATACTTTATGCTAAAATGACATAAATTGTGTTATGTTTGAGTCACAGCAGTTTATTATGGGTAATAAATATAAAAGAGCTCATTACTCTCTATACTGCAGAGGAGACTCCATACATTATCAGCACAAGCTATTTGGTTTCCTCATTAAAACAGCTGAAGCTGGTGTAAAAGTGCAGGATACCCATCAGGCATTTCTGCTCATTACTGTTTAATGCATGACGAGAATGCAAACACTGGATGCACCGATTTGTTTTTAAATTATTACCTCACTACATTTTTTTCTGGTTTAATCCATTCTGATGGCTCTTCATCGCAGGTTTAAAGGTTCATCTTTAAAAATTCACGGTAATGTGGTCACAGTATGCTGCTGCTGAATGTTGATTTCTCTCATTTGCTGGATATTAGTTTTGCTGCTGATAATGAGATTAGACATCTGAGTTCTCATGTTGTCWCAAGTAATATGGATTGATTTTTAATGTTTACAGCCCCAAATGCTCAGCAGAAGTGTTTTACTGCAGCGTGATCCCATCTGAAAGAGCTGCTTCTTTGATGCTGCAAGTTTAAGAAAATCATACTCAAATTCAAAGCCAGCTCTGATTTTTAAGGAGAGAGAGGACAGAGAGGGAGAGAGGGAGCTAGAAGGGGAGTTTTTCCATCCCAGCAGAGGATAAAGTGATGAGTGATCAGCTGGAGGAGGTAGAGATGGAGTTATATAAGCATGTGGGATGCAAGATGTTTCATCTCACTGGGGATACCGCCCACTCACTGTGCTACTGTGTGTGTGAGAGAGAGAGAGAGAGAGAGAGAGAGTGTGTGTGTGTCTGAATGCATATGTGAGATGGGAAGTGTCAATGCATACTGATGTATTCATGTATGTTTTTACTTCTCTCATTTTAATCACAGGCTAAACTATACATCCATCTCATCTGCTATGATAGAAACAGAAGCAGTTCTGTGCAAAAACAAATACTGCAGCATAATGGTCTGTTTTTGTTTTCTTATAAGAAGAATTACAGACGAGGTTCTGCAGTGAAARCTGTAGCCACTAGAGGCTGCGCAAGTACACATGATGAGAAAATGTCCTGAAGTTCCAGATCTGAGTTTTAATTAGGGGAAACTTTGTGATAAAGTTTTGTGAAAGCTGTAAAACTGGACATGGTTTCATAATCAAGCTAACTGTAATCCAAATGATGCAGTATTTTATAGTTTTTTCTTTCATGTTATATGCTGTTTTTGAAAGAACTGATATTTTTCTGCAGAATACTATAAAGGATGATGATGATTTTGGAGAAAATTATAGTTTTAAAGTTGTACAGTTTCAACTACTGCACTCATAATTAACTACAACAGACATGTAAAAAAAACAGATCGTTTGTCAATAACTTTAAAACTTATATTGATACAAAATTGACACATTTTGTTTTTAAATGTAAAGCATGGCTTTTCTGGTGCAAGAGGCATTCATTGTTGGCAGCTTCTAACTGTAGCTGTGACAGAAAAATTACCGCACAAGCTAAAATTTATATTAAGAAACTCAACATGAAATCAAATATGAAACTTAATCCTGAAATAAACCAGTTTAAACCARTTGTATTTTCCAGATGTCTAGCGCTGCCATTATGAAATAGTATATGGAGTAAACTATTTATATCCATGTAAACAAAACACTTCCATCCGAATGCTTTAATCAATAAATCTGAATATAAATATGCAACTAGACAGAAAAACTCATTCAAAACAGCTCTTCTGTGGACATTACCTTTAAAATACATTCAGCCCCTTCGACTGTTTGTAGTTAAACATACTGAAAGTTTATCAATCATTTTAAAATATTTCATTTATTTTTCATTTAAGGACACATTAACCAGTTAATAATAAGAAGAATCAAGTAGATTTTGTGCATTCATTTTTTAAAACTTTTTTCTTTTTAAAATTATGTTCATGACAATTGAATTGTTATAGTTCAAATCAAGGACTACACAAACACAATGTTTTACGTTAGAATGATGCTTTATTGCTTTGTGTTAATGCAGTCCTTATTTTGACTTTATAATTATTAGTTATTTTTAATTGGCATAAATGAAAACAACACTTACAATAAAATTACAATAAAAATAGACATTTCACTCCCACACACAAACATGCTATTTTAATCCACATAAGGACAGGAAAATAAAATCAATACATTTAAAAACTAACATGTTTTGATTAGTTATGTAGGCTGTTTAAYGTTCACAGAAAATAACACAATTATGCAAATCTTTTGACAGAATGTTGTTTTTCCAAATAGTAAATGTTTATATTTTTATCTTTAATAACAGCTGTTTGTCTTTATCTAGTTGGAACGTAATAATAATGTGTGAGGGACTAACTGCAGCGTACTGACTGAATATCAAGGTAAATCAGGATGTCCGTTATTTACAGTATAACTCATATATAGGTTCTTTGTATGCAGAGAGTCCAGTCCTGAACCTCAGCCCATGAGTCTGACAGGGGTGTGTAGTACTCATGCTGTGTGTGTTTGCTGCACAGTGCACTGTAAAGTCCTGCAGCAGCACGATGTAACTGAAGGCAGTCTCAGGAGTGATGGAGAGGTCACGGCTGCACCTGACCCCAGTATGTTTACCAAGAGCTGCTGAGGACAGGAGGACGGACACTGYAGTGAGACAAGACAGCAGGAAGTGAGAAAGACTAAACTCTATGGGAGATAAATTATAATTAGAAGGAGATATTGTTTTTGTAGGTAACAACTGCTGTGTGTTTGCAAAGACGGTTTTACAAATAAGTGTGTGCAATACAAGTGTGTTTGTTGATTTGGAGCATATGTGCAGTCCTGCTGTTTAGGGCCTGGAGGCTCATCTCAGAATGTTCCCACGTTTACAGACACGATACYGCAGACGGTTCACCCTTCAGTTACCTTGGAACAGGTAACAGAAAGGAAACAATTTCTCTGCTTAAACTTAATCCTAATAAACATCACTTTTTTAAAAGTCAAAATGTGAGTAAATATTAGTTTTGTGAAGCTTTAGATAAAATCAATTCATAATTCTCGACAACCCTATAGCTTTCAGATACACAGGTTAGAAATAAATCAAAGGCATATTTTAGTTAAAATCTGTGAATTTCAGGATCAAATTTTCTTTACATTTGTTTGTTCACGCTTGTTCACATATAAAGATAAAATATGGAGGCAGCAGGAGTGAAACTTTAAAGTGGCACCTTGGGAGAGAGCAGCAGAAATAACTGCTCTGTTTCTGCCCCGTGAATAACTGCAGATTCCCCGGACTCAATTATAACGATTGATTTTTGTATTAAGTCAAAGTAAACAATACAGTTACTCAAACTAATCAATTTGTATTTTTATGCATTCACGTAATACTGTCATCGTGTCAACAAGCTGGACATTTTTACAAGTCTGTATTTACTAGAGTGGAAATAAGTTTAGTTTGAATTCAGACAGAATCAAAAAGGATATAAAAGAACAGATAAGTTTTGTTTGGGAAGATTCTTTTTATTAGGCCTTTAAAATGATGCACACAGATGGTAGAATAAGAAGCTAAACCCTCATTATTTTCAAGGGAAATTCTTTTTAAAATTAGAATGATAAAAGCTACATGTTGGTTTTTTACATTCTGATATAAAATAAAAGGATTTTATATCTTTACTAAGAGTTTTTGTAGAAACTGGAAGTAATAATACAAACTAAATAAACCTTCAAGTGTTTATGACTTCATAAAGGAAAATGCATGCATAAACATAACATCTGAGAGATTTATTTTTTAAATGGTTTAATGAGGTCCAGAAATGCAAAGAATCTGAAATGAAAACTAATAAAATTTAAATTTCCTACTGTGAATTATTCAGTCTAAATTAATAATTCATAAGAAATCATAATTAAATTTGAACACACTGCTTAGACTTGGCTTTTTTCCCCCCACTGCTGGTGTTCAGATTTAACAAATTACATCCCACTGGTTCTGTTG